ATTCTGCAACAGTACTGAGTACCCAGCAGCAGCAGCAGCAAAAGATGCAGAGCAGCACAGCCCTTACAGTAAAATGGAGATTGTCCACAAGGGCCATTCATGCCATCTATGTACTACAACCAGGCTTGAAGCACCATTGCAAAGGTCATAGGCTGATGTGTCATCCAGAAAACTCTGGAGGTGCTCTGCCACCAGTTTCTCAGTCTATTTCCCCTGAACATAGGTCTACCAGTAGCCTCATCTGTTTTATCTAAAGCAGGGTTTTACCCCCATTGCAAACATGTGATTACTTATTTCAGTGTCTTAAGGGAGGAATCCTGAGTCAACAAACCACTTTAGATATTTATAAGTAGCTCACTCACCTAATCCCTGTGCAATTTCACCCAACCATGAAGGTCAGGAATCAAGCTGACAAGTAGGAGCCTTCCCAATAGGAAGAATCCTGAAAACATAAATCAGGACACAAAGTCAACTGCATCCATAAAGAGAACAGGCATGGTACTAGCTGGGAGTCAAAATGGATCTGAAAGGTTTCATCAGCAAAGAATTGTGGATAAACATTGCTAATAACTAATTCTGTACATTTTGGGCCTCTAATCTTCGAGGACAATAAGTATCTAAAACCCCTAAACAATTGTGCTGGATGCAGTACAGCTGACAAAATTGCAATGGAAATGTTTCTTTTCTGCTATCATTGCCACCTCGTAGGCTTTCAAATGTGTGCTAAGTGTGCAGACGTTTTTTCAGCACCAAAGCTCTAGCCATCTTCCTCCCCCCTTACATTGTCCTGGCACCAAAGTAAACCACAGACCTAGATCCCATCTCCTGGGACGAAGAATTCTGTCTATTATGCTAGAAAGTCTCCACCAAGGCATCAACAGAGGTACTTCTCAGAATGCCAAAATCTCCCAGAATATTCAGGAATCAAACTAAATCCATTCGTTTCAGGGAGTGGACTATTTTAATGGCCAAATAATCAGTGCAGCATACTTGAACAGCAATGGTGGGTTAAAACTTTGCCTTCCAGCTATTGAAAACATGCCCCCCCATTCTAAAATAGCCCTAAAATAAAATATACACCGCTCCTAGAGATCCTAGAGGAAGCTCAAAGATCATTGCAGACATTTCCTCACTAGAACCTATTCTTCCTTTCTATCCTGCGCTAGTATTTCATTTAGAACAGCAAGTCTTCAAAATAACAGGTCCTTCCCCCACTCAGTTAAAAAACCATTGCTGGCAGAAAACGTCAGTTCCTATCTAACAGAGCTGTTTTAAACACAATATGCTGCTTTATGAAGCATTCTTTTATCACAGTGTCATCAAATCAGGAAGAAAATCCCCAAGAAGACATCATTTAGTCTGTCCATTTAGTCTCCATACCCTTTCCAGGCTTATCAGAAGCTCCCAAACATTAAGCTGTATTATCTGTAGCAAACTCAGAAGTCAGAAAAGGTGGGCAATGCGGTCTCTCTCTCTCACACTGTCCCTTGCTGGTTTCTCAAGAGATAAAAGCTATGTCTTAAAACAGGGGTTCTTACATTTTATTTTCCTTTATGGGATCCACTGGCTCAGTGATGCCAGCTCTTAGATCCAGTCCCTGGCAAAATGGATCCAGGAGGCGTTGGACATAGCCTGTACCCATGGCCTTCCTCATCACTAGTGGCTGAGAGCAAACCCCGAGCCCTTGGGTGGTACTGGCATTGCTGAAAGCCGGGACTTGTCTCAAGAGTCCCAACTGCTAGCAGCACAGGTTAGAGAAGTAGTGCCAGGGCTTGCTTTGGTTAGCATATCAAGTGCTTATCTCCCCTTTGCTAAGGGAATGAGCAGGGCAAGAACGCAGCACCCTGCTCCTTTTCCCTCTCAGCTTTGACTCACAACTCACCTGTGAGAAAGTCATAATCTACGTGAGAGACAGAGCCTTATTTAGTTCAGTATTTTTAATGTGCTCTTTTTATCAGCGCAGTCCCAAAGTGGCTTGCAAAATACAATTTAAACCAACAGTATAAATCATTGCATTCTGGTCTAGTCTAAAATCCATTGGTTTGGTTGTCTGGTTGCAAAATACAATTTAAACCAACAGTATAAATCATGGCATTCTGGTCTAAAATCCATTGGTCTGGTTGTCTTAGGGCCACCGGCTAAAAGCCAAGGGCCAAGACCTCTTTGGCTCTTGCCCTTCAGTTTGCAACTCTGGCCATGACCAGGCCTCTAACAGGAACGGAAATACAAGTTCAGGCCAGATCCTGTGCAGCTGGCAGACAAGTTATCAAGATCATTCTCCCTCTTTAATGTAATTATTTTCAGAGTTAGACTGCAAGATAAAAAGAGTACTATTAGCCCTTTTTATTGCCACCCTTTTAAAGAAATCCCTGTACCCAAATAACGAAATTTGTAGAGAAGCATCCAAAATGTGGCTTCTCAATAGAATACTGAGAAAATAAAAGTAGCAGACCTACAGTGCAACCCTATGTCTTTCTATTGACCCCAACAGAATTAGAAGGGGGGATACACTCTATTCACCTCCCTGGATAGCCCAGATTAGCTGATCTTGTCAGATTTCAGAAGCTAAGCAGGGTTGGCCCCGGGTAGTATCTGGATGGGAGACCTACAAGGAATTCCAGGGTTGCTATGCAGAGGCAGACAATGGCAAACCACTTCTGAACGCCTCTTGCTTTGAAGACCCTATGGGGTTACCGTAAGTCAGCTGTGACCTGACGGCACTTTCCACTGCCAAACTCTGCTCAGGAATCTCGCCTAACCAAGCCAAAACCTTGTTCCATTTGGGCCACTATTTATTGACTGGCAGCAGCTGTCCATATGCTTTACTATGGAACTAGTGGGTCTTCTGTTCAGGATGCCTTCTGCTTTCCTACAACTTTAGGACACAGCAGTATCCCAGGAGCATTTTCTCATCTGGTGAAAAAGCAAGCAAGCACTTTTTAATCTTTTAATCCTTTTGTGTAAAAAAGCAAAACAAAACACAACCCTTAAACCTTCGTAATTTTTTTAAACAGAAGCTGCAGCTTGTGCATAACACCTTCCAGTAGAGAGAATGTAGGTCAAAGCAAGTACTTTTATCTACAGATGGATGGCTGGGACCACATTCAAGCACAGGTAAATGCTAAATGGGGGGGGGGGAAACCAGCTTCAAAGTCTAGTGTACCAAACCCTACAATATTAGACTAAACCACTGTAACTATTCAAAATAAGACACAACGGGTTTTGGAATCACCTCAAAGAGGTGACTGAGATCATCATGAAATTTACATCTGAAAACCATCCCAATGTCCACTTGTTTAAACCACATCTGGGCTTATGTGTAGGGCTGTGCATTCGGTAAAGCTGACCTAAAAAAACCCAAAAAAACATTTTTCGGGTATTCGACATACCAAATCAGATCCCCTGAGCTGATTCAGCTGCTTAATACTGAATGCCGACCCCCCCCTAAAAAAAAGTTTGTGGTTTTTTTGGCTTTCTCAGGGAGATACTGCTGACTGCCTTTCCCCTATCCCCATTGGAAACAATGGAGGCTTGGGGGCGCACCCTCTTTGGTTGCCCCTAGAATTGGACCCCCTAGTCCAATCTTTTCCAAAGAAGAAAAGATATTGGATTTATACCCCACCCTTCACTACCCAAAGGTGTCTCAGAGTGGCTTACAAACTCCTTTCCCTTCCCTTCCCCACAACAGACACCCTGTGAGGTAGGTGGGGCTGAGAGAGCTCTTGACAGAAACTGCTCTTTTTCAGTAACAGCTCTTATCAGAACTACGGCTTGCGCAAGGTCATCCAGCCAGGTGCAAGTGGAGGAGTGGGGAATCAAACCCGGTTCTCCCAGATTAGAGTCCGCGCACTTAACCACTACACCAAACTTGCGGTGTCTTTTGAAGAGAGGCTCCAGTAGCTACGGTACAAATTTGGTGCCTCTACCTCAACCCCCCCCCCCAGCCCCCTGAATACTTATTAGAAGTTTTTTGCCATTGACTACAATGGCCCTATAGGATATAATGGAGCTGAAAACTTTTGGGAATGGGTACCAATAGAATACCAGTATTGGTATTCGGGTATATTCTAAGGAATCCCCCAAAAAATATTATACCCGAATAAAAAAAAAAATCGATTTTCCCCCTGCACACCCCTACTTATGTGTGTTACATCTATAGACACAGGTGTGGTATTTCTTTGTCTCTCCATTGGCCCATTAAGTCATAAGCGGTACGAATGCTCTAAAAGATAGAACTTCAGAACAGGATGGAACCTCTCTCTTCTTCACATCTGGCTTCTACCTCATCATTTTGATCAAAACTAACTTTTGTTGTTGTTGCTCAGTTACACAGTCAAGTTCGACTCTTTACGACCCGACCCCATGGACCACATCACGCCAGGCCCTCCTGTCTTCCGCCATCCTCCAGAGTAAAACTAACTTACTGAAAGATAACTGCTAATAAATATTTGCCCAAGGCCACAGTAGGCCAGCAAAAAGCAGCCTTTTTTTGCCATCAAGTCACAGATGACCCATGGCAGCCCCACAGGCTTTCAAGGCAAGAGACATTCAGAGGTGGTTTGCCATTGCCTGCCTCTGCATAGCAACCCTGAAATTCCTTGGTGGTCTCCCATCCAAATACTGACCAGGTCTAATCCTGCTTTGGTTCTGAGATCAATCTAGCCTGGTCTATCCAGGTCAGGTCTTTAAAAAGGACTACAAAGGACAAAATATTCATAATAGCAAGCTGACATTCAAGTCAGAAAGAAATACTTAAGTACCAGTATGTAGATATGAATCAGGAAATGGTGTTGCTAGGCTTCACAACTAATTTTTGCCAAAAGCATATCTAACTTCTAAAAACTCAGTGCTCCAAAACAGAAGCATCTCATTTCTATTTCCACTATTCAGGGCACCTATTTAAAGAATACACATAAATAGTGACTCCTATTGTGTTCCTACCACCGGCAAATACTTACAACCAGAAAAATATAACAAATGAAGACAGTAGAATGGCAGCATATAAAGAGATGTAAGTTTAATAGATTTGCATTGTATGGCACCAGAAGCAGTCTCCCCTGACGTTAACTTTAAATATAAAGAGACTAACATAGGAAGTAATATAATACAAATACTACACTGTATGATTTTTTCTCTCATAAAAAAGCTGCATTTTGTTAGAAATATTAAACAGGGGGAAAAGGCAATTTTCTTTTTAGTATTCAATGCCAGTAATTGCATTCTACCACAGGGTGGTGCTAATGCACCATCAACAATTTAATGCTGTTGAAGTAAATAAGGGAAATACAACTTTTGGTATTGTTCCTCTTAGTATTTCAGGCAGTGTTTTTTTGTTTGCTTTCGGAACCCTATTTTATTAAGTCATTCTGTTCTACATTATTCACAAGGGACACATCACAATATGTCTAGAAGCAAATTATGAACTGCACAATGTGTGCCTAGAATTATAAACTGCACAGTCTAAGCCATGCTACAACTATAGGATGGCTCTTCTTGTGATGAGAAAGGCATGGCACGCATGATACTGGCTGGAGGTGGCACTACAAGATGTTGAGATTTCTCCTCTTCTTCTTTACATTTGAAAGCAAAAGTAGGACAGACTAATAAGACAGCAAGCAGACAATGGCTCACTTGCCCACAGTCTCATTGCAGAGGTGGCCAATGGTTGCAGAAACCCTGACATGGTTCATTTTAAATGACAATCTATTTTGTCTCTCTCTCTGTGTTATGATAACAAGGCTTGGGAATCACTAGACTTGCAGTGAGCTCCCTTTTCCTTCACTTGCAGCTTGGCAATTAATCATTTCTATTTTCATGGACATCCATAGATCAAGATACGGCCATTAGACGTTTGTTCTCATCTGGCCAAGCCATTTAAATCTGGTTTTAATGGAATGGTTCAAAAGTATCAACAAATTACTGCCATCAAAAAACCAGAAATTGTTTCTGACCCAGGTACAAAGGGAGGCACTATAATGACACACTCCAATTTGTTGTTGCATGTGCATCATACCACAGAACACTTCATTTTCCAAGTCTGGCTTCTCACACATTTGGACTTCAATTATGATAAGTGTTGAAAGAGTCATAATCCAACAAATTATAATGACAACCTGGCTCCACAATAAGCTTCCACATCCCAAGGACCCAGGTTTGCTTTGCTATTTACTAACCAAGAAACCCTGATCTAAATAAAACATGATTTGAAAGTCAGCAAAGCCTAACAGAAATTAAAGTTCAAGACACAATGGAGACATGCTTCGATGTACAATCTGCAGTATGGGAACATTCACTTCAATCAGATCAACAGGGGATATTTGTAAATGTGTGTGTGTGCGATATACGTTTTATCTACAAATAGCCAACATACTGATATTTTAGCATGATGATAAGGTAAAGCAGAGACATTGAAGCCAGTAGTTTCAGTCTCAGAAGACGAATACACATGTCCTAGATCCTGCTCCAACACAGATATCATGCCCACATGCTTACTATATGACACAGTTTACAGACAAAATTTAGCTCTCTTCAATCTTTTTCCACTTACAGCATCAGACTACACATAAAAACATTATGCACACTTCAGCTTCACTGACATAATTTTGACACAATCCAGCTATTCACAAAGGAGGGGAGGGATTTTGTCCATTTTTTCTCCCTCCCACTACAGACTCCCCCTATTTGCCTTTCATGATGTTCCTGATTGTCTTCCAGGAGCAGCACTTCAGGGAGATCAGTGGCCTGCAGTGGAGGAAGGGAGGTTGGGAAGTTCCACCCAACTGACAGAAGGGCCGTCTGTTAGCAGGAAAATTGGTGGGGATCCAACCAGTTTTCTGTTTTGCTTTAAACCTTCACATGGGCTTCAAATGTGCATCTGAGATGACGAAATGCAGAGGGTGGGTTAAAGCTTCCTCGTGTTCAATAAACAAGCAGGAGGAAGTGTAAGAAAAAGTGACCCTCAAAGACCAAACCAAAGAACTGGTTTGCAAAAAAGAGAAAAAGTCCAGCCATTTCAGATTAGTAACGCAGCCCAGTATAATTATGCACAATGGAACAAAATGGCTGAGGCACAGTAGAACTACTGAACCAGAATAATATAATTTTTAAAGTATACAAAAAGTACAGGCCTATTACTGTATACGGCTACAGAACAGAAATACATGTGTGTTTGTATATGTGTTTGTGAGAGAAGGCACTTTGTTGTGCTTCATGCTCCACAAGTCACATGCTATGATTTTGCACAATTAGATTCTGTACAATCAGCTATTTTTGCAACAAGCTGTAGTGGGTGGGTGTATACACACACACACACACAAAATGTTGTGTGTATATATGTGTATATATATATATACACACACAGCCCTCTCCAGTCTCTATTCTATGATCTATGCAAAGCTTACGCAAGCTTTGAACAGGTTAAAATGGCCACAACATAAGCATCTCAAAGCCACACCAAAGCCCGTGCAAAGGCTTGCTTAATCACTATGGGGAAGTCACTGTGCTTTGTCCTGCATACCTTGTGAAGGAGCCATGTGAAATGAGAGTGTGAAAGAAAGCAGCTGCTCTGTTCATCCTGAAGATGTATATTGTCCATGACTCTCAATATGTTGGAAACATTTTTTTCAAAATATGCCCAACAAGGGATTGATAAACATAATGGTATATCTGGCAATACAGAATATAAGTGAACAAATCTTAATAGCAAGCGACCTATGAAACTCTCATCCGCCACGGTCTTTTGACACTGCAGAGACAGGTGGCACAGGGATCCCCTTGCCTGGGGTACCAATCCGTGCGTCTTCTGCTCAGCTCCCATCTTGCTTTGCAGCAGGCTTGTTTGGAGGCTGGAGCTTGTACATGCTGAAGTAGCTCACCACCTGCTGAGGCACTTCTGCCAGGACACTTTGAGCAAGAGCTTCTTTGGGAGCCTGAATCAAAGGGGAGGGGGAAAGAGTTTTAAGTACCCCCAAACACAGAAAGCATGTGATCAAGTTTCTGAGGATTTAAGGAGACCATCTGGAAGAACAGCATCAGCCAGAATTTAATTGACCATTTGGACTGTCACGTTATCCATACTGTGTGCTGGCTAACTGTTGCTTACATGGTTCAAAGCTGGTTGGCATTTTTGCGGCTTGGACTGTAAGGTGACTCAGGGGACACTCCCGGAGAGAACAACCTTAGTGCATTTCTCCATAAAAACTGCCACTCTCCAGCACTATCTGGTGACATAAAAATTGGGCAGTTGAAACAAATTAATTAGCCTGATTTCTTCTAGGCCTAAAGCCTCAGCCTTTTCCCTTGAAGCAGATGCATAATTTAACCTGCACAGTAACTCCAAGGACAAGGCTTGTCTGTTTAAAGATCCAAGCATGAGATGCTATAAACGGATTCCGTTTTTCTTATTAAGTGATCCAGCTACAGAAAGGAGTAATAAAGAGGCAAACTATTAACTACCAAGTTAACATACAACCAACAACAGCTGGGCACTGGAAATAAAGGACAAATACTTCTCTCCTCCCCTGCCTTACAGCAGTTTGCCCAAGCAAATAATGGAAAGTCAGGTAAAACTGGTGCTCTGATTTCAGCTTGGTAATAGGGAGTGGACATAGAGCATTAAATGCGGACAAGTCTATTGTGGGATTTAAGATATAAATCAGAACAGGCCTTAAGAAAACAGCTCTCTTGAAAGCAGCCATTTTCTGGTTTCTAGAATTTGTAGACTACATTTTTACAACAGGCTGTGTGATCAAATAGTAAAGGTTTGTTATTTCACTCTGAGATGACTGATGAGCTTTTCTTTCCACGTCATTTAACTACAATGTGAGAATTCTGTTACACAAAAAAGGGAAGTACCCTTCCAAGAAACAATGTTCTTTTCATTGACAACTTAATCCGCACAGTGCACTTTCTAAGCAACTCAGTTCCTATATAATAGGGCACATTAGACATGAGCCACTATTATATATTACTACTATATTCTGACGAGACCAGAATCAGTCTCTCTCAGTGTCATCAGAAAGTGTACTTACATTTTGGAATTGTCTAAATGGCACAAACTGGACAATATCTCTAACAGCAGCCTCTCCTGTGCGGGATCTCAGAGCACCGCTGTCACTGTCAAGAAACTCCATGGCACTGAAATCAGCCCCTCCAACACCAACAATTATAATCGACATGGGGAGTTTGGCTGCATTAACAATGGCAGATCTGGTTTCATCAAGGTCAGTGATCACACCGTCGGTGATGATCAGGAGCACAAAGTATTGCTGCAGAACAAAAGTACATATTGTTACCAGTGAGACAAGAAAAATATATTTATGAAGTAAAGTGGCATCAGCAGATAAGCATGATGGACAAAAGGAAAAAGTCCCAAAGAGTGCAAAACAAAGATTTGTTCAATGATCTTAACATATTCCAAATACGAACTCTATTGTCAGGGCAATAATAACCAGCACAGAATAGTTATTTGTGCATGTGAACTCTTAGAAGAGAATGCCCGCACAAGCATCAATAAGGCAACAATAACCAGCACAGAATAGTTATTTGTGCATGTGAACTCTTAGAAGAGAATGCCCACGCAAGCATCAATGAGACGGCCATCAAGATTGGCTGGCAAGGTTGCCAGTTTTGTTCCCTGCCCATCAACTTCCAGCCCCAGCTGACTGAAATTCAGAAGTTACGGTGTGGGTAGTGATGAAGTACTTACAGAGGCTGTTTTCTGTTGAGTAGCTGCAGCAGCAAACCTAGCCATGTGATTTATTATCGGAGAAAAGTTGGTCGGCCCATACAGCCTCACTTGAGGGAGGCAGGCCCGGTATGCATCCACAATACCTTGGATTCCTGAGGGAAATAAATGGACGTTCCTCAGCACATTTTAATGCATCTATTATCACACTTTTTTTAAAAAAAAAAAGCTGATACTTTTTGCTGATGGTGTTTTTATGCTGTTTTTATCCACCAGCATTTGCTTTATGCCATTCACTTTATGTCATCGTATTGTAGATCCCTAGTAAACCAGTCTCAAAGCAGGTCTTTGCAGAGATAAGCTAAACCATATATATATAAAAGTACAAATATTTATTAAGGCGTACACATGCTAAATCTTTCCTGATTAAAAATTACTTTGTCTAAGATCAGACTATAAAAGCTTACCCACTATACATACATATGATGGGTAAATACTTTACAACTGAAGACCAAATGGTGAAAATCCTTGATGGAGGGACACACATTCAGACCTACAAAATCGCTGTTACCAGAATAAGTTGTGGAGGTGATATGGCTATGCCTATGGCCCATCGCTAATAACAGGAGTCCAATTATAAGTATACAAGGAAACAACATCCGGTTTAATTATGTGTGTACTAAAACTCTGTAAAAGGTCTTTGAATGTGTGTCTAGAATATATAGATAATAGTGACCACTGAGGAAGGCCCTTAGGGGCCGAAGCGCGTTTGGTCTTCAGTTGTAAAGTATTTACCCATCATATGTATGTATAGTGGATAAGCTTTTATAGTCTGATCTTAGACAAAGTAATTTTTAATCAGGAAAGTTTTAACATGTGTACACCTTAATAAATATTTGTACTTTTATATATATGGTTTAGCTTAGCCCTTTTTGGTTCACAGTCATATCCTGGGTTGAGTCTTTGCAGAGATAAGCATGTCTATTTTTCCCCCTAAATAATGTTTCAGCTACGGAAAGATTTGCCAAACCGCAGCATTACGCTACTGCTAGTGGTGTAAGACTAGATAAGAGCCAAGCAACTAGTCCCCCATGGTCTATGAAGATATATCTTTGCCAGCAATCTGCAGTGAACATTAATTAAAACTACGTGGCCTTAGAGAACAAGACCATCAATATCCCACACAATGGAAGTGTCTTCCAGATTGGTATTAAAGGCCTGCTATGTTGGAGCACAGGGAGATATTTGCTATTGCCAACAAAGTACAGTAACAGGCTCTTCAATCACCTCTTCTACTAGGATATTTTACTGAAGAACTGAAAATGCTAACATCACAGAATAAACATGGACAACAAATCATACTAAGCCAAGCACCTGACATTCTATTATATATGATACTTTAGTATTCCACTAAATTCAAGAGACTTTTTATAAAAGGTTTCTTTCCCCTTATTTTTGGCTTCTTCTTTTTTTTGCCTTAAAATAGCAGCCTGGTAGATTTGATTAAAGAACTGCTTTCTTCCATGTGAAGTTACTAGCCTTCAAGTTATTAGCCTGTCCCCATTTATTTATTTATAAATTTTAAACAAACCAAATATCCATGATGAATTATGCAACATCAATAGAGACAGTTACACTTGTATCAACAAACTATTAAGTTACAGGACATTCTTAAAGATTCTGACCCTAACATTCGAAAACAACTTACCACTGCAAAATGGATTTGATGAGTTAAAGTTTAATGGAAACTCATGTGATACCTGTGAATACATGGAAGATGTATGAAGCTGAATGTGTCCACTTCTAATTATGAAGTTTTCATTCCTGCCCTCTCCCAAAATCATGTCCCACATATCATTTACCTGCCACGAGGGGGGAATCTGAGCACCAAACCCAAGAGCGGGGAACATTTTATCTCTGTAAAAAAAAAATTCAGGAGAACATAATTATAAATAAGTTCACAATTCCAAACTCTTTGCAAACCAGAACCGTAAATCTGTTCCCAGTAATATTATTAAACACTTCTAAGGCCATCCGTGAGAACCACTCAACTTTCCCTTCATCCAAGCAAGAATGTGACATGCCCACATTATGAGTGATTAAAAATAACACTTGTTCACAGAAGATGATTCTCACCATCTTCTTTTGCTAGTCAGACCACATCACAAATAGGAATGACAGACTCAACATTAGCTGGAGGGCCTAGCACAGCATGGTTCCGGAATGTAGAGCAGCTAACCTGTGGCTCTGAGAGCAAGTAGCCTTGCTCACCTCTCCCTCAATTCTCCCTCCACTCACAACCAGCCATGCTAGTGGGTTCTCCCCAAGACATTTGTTATACCTCTTTCATATGCAAGAATTCCAAGACATGGCCAAGACAAGCCTCTGCCCATTTTCTGCTGAGATGCAAGTTGGCCAGGACTGCTCTGAAGAGACACTTTGTGAGCAGCCCAGACTCACAAAGGGGGTAGATGGTATATAACACAAAGGCAAAAATGTGCACATACCATAGGTATACATACATGTTGCACAGTGCTTGTTTTCACACTGCATTATCTAGTAATGTAAGATATTGCTACAATGTCCCAAGGATGTAAACAGTGCAATAACTCAAGCAGAAATCAATTCAATTAGCTACGTTAGTGAATTGTGAGCCTGGACAAACAGTACCACTAGTTAGCTGAGAAGATTAATAGTTCTCATCTGCAAATAACCCAGCTGAGCTCTGAGAAGGAGCAGGAGACAGAGCTGCTAGAGAGGTGAGTGTTTTATTACTTGCTTTCAACTGAGCAGATTTAGCTGAGGGTATTGTGTGGGAGGACTGTGTTTGAGAGTGTGTGGAAGGGATTAGAGTTGTTGCAGAGTCCTGGCTGCTTGAGATAGGTGAGAAAGGGTTAGTGTTCAAATGTAAATTGAGTGCCTGGGTGAATTTGAATAGCTGCTGTCCCACCCTTTCCTGGGGGAGGCCTCTATTTAAGGCAGCACCTTGCCAGAGGCAGAGCTGACCCAGCTGAGCTCTGAGCAGGAGACAGAGCTGCTCTTTGCTTGTGGCTCTTAGCCTAGGGACTCTGTAAGAAGCCCAGGAAGAGCCAGAAAGCCAAGGCCCTAGTCTCCTTGTGTTCCCAGTAAGGTAAATAGACTTTGACAAGGAGAACCACATAAATACAAAAGGTTTTAAAAGGGGGATTATATTTAATTATTTTGAAAGTAATTATGAAGCCAGAATGCCAGCAGGGGGTTGGGGGCTATCCAGTGTATTGCACGGAGTGTCACATGTATCTGCCCACTGGACAAAAGAGCTTGCTACAATGCCAATTGATCCAGCGCGTGCGCACTAGATCCCATGGGTGTGAAGCACAGAAACCACGTCGAAGATCAGTGGGATACAGTGATTCCCGGTTATATCTTATATCGGAAGCATGGGGGGGAAGGGTTGGAGGTGGGGTAGCTCTGTATGTCAGAGAGGGTATACAGTCCTGTAAGACTGAGAGGGTAAGAGAATTGGATTCGCTTCTGGAAATGCTATGGGTTGAAATAGTGGGCCCAAAAGGAAACTTAACATTGGGAGTTTGTTATCACCCACCAGATCAAAAGATAGAGGAGGATTATAAAATGATGAATTAATTAAAGATAGCGGCTAGACAAAGAAACTGTGTCAAAATAAGTGATTTTAACTACCCACACATTTATTGGGTCAATATGTGTTCAAGTCAGGAAAAAGAGATTGAGTTTCTAGACACTCTCAATGACTGTGCTATGGA